TCTTCTCTGTACCCCTCAAAATGTTTTGAAACCAGCTTGGGAGCCTGCCCTATTCTCCCCACAAAGCTTCATTAAAGGAGTAGCACACTTCTTCACACTCTCCTCTTGGTATGTGTGCAGTGTTATCAGTCTTAATGTTCAAGACAAACATTGGATAGGAGCATCTGTCTCACCTCTACAGGTGACTATAACATCTATTTTTTTTAATCAAATACATAATTAATTTAAAAGTAAGTTAAACTTACGAAAATAAAAGTTGTTCTATGGACCTTGTACTATTTAAAGTCATAATGAAAATATTGAATATATGCCAATTTTGATGTTAGTTCTACATGTTAAAAATTTCTAACAATGGAAAATACGAATGTATAACTTAAAATCTAGTATACAAAAAAACTGATATGAGAAAAAAATTCATTCACGATAAGGCAAAAATGGAGAAAACACATATAGAAATGGAATAATATAAAAACATAAAATAAAGTGATAGAAATTAAAATTATGGTTGATTACCTTAAAATGCAAATTGAATAAATGTTACCATAAAAAAGATAAGAATTGTCAAGCCACATTTTAAAATTCTGCTCTATGCTATCAATAATGAGTACATTCCCATCCCAAATATAAGAATACATTCATACTCAAAGTAAAAGGATAAAAAAACACAAAGCAAATACCAATTTAAAAAAGCTGATGTGGCAATTAACATCAGATAAAATAGACTTTAAGATAAAGAAAAAAAGAACATTACATAAAAAATTTAAATGTTTTCACCCAATAACACAACATATTATGTAAAACAAAAAAAAGAAAAAATACACAAATCCATGTTTAGAACGTGAGATATTAACATATTTTCTCAGTAATTGTTAGTTTAAGCAGCCAAGTATGAATGTCCCAGATGCTCTAGAATTTTGCCAAGAATTGGCATGGTCAGTCTTTTTAACACTAGCTATTCTAAAACATATGTAGTAATATGACACCTCATTGTGGTGTTTACTCATATTTTTCATCTGTATATGTTCTTTGGTGCAGTGTCTATTCAAATTTTTTGCCCATATTTTTAGGTTTCTTTTGCTTGCTTTTGTTTTTGTTTTTTAATTGAAGTATAGATGATTTACAAGATTATATTAGTTTCAGGTGTATAACAAGTGATTCAATATTTTTATAGATTATACTCCATTTAAAGTTATTATAAAATATTGGCTACCCCTTTTGCTATACAATATATCTTGTTGCTTATTTATTTTATACATAGTAGTCTGTACCTCTTAATCCCCTACCCAATCCTGCCCATTCCTCTTCCCTCTCCCTAACCACTA